TAAGCTGAAAATAAATTTTTTTATGAGTTTGCATTTAAATACTCTATCTGTTTAGTGAACTACAAATTGAAATAATCAATTACTTGTAATGAGAAATAACATAAAAATTTCTACAATTATATTTCTACTATTTATAAAACAACACATGTGTGTGTATTACGTTATTCTTATCTTCTTAAGTAACTAAATGGAAAAGATTTCATCATAACTTTTAAGTATTTTTGGCTGTACGACGTTCTCTGAATTTCCTATCAAAAATTTTTATCAAAAATTTTCTTATCAAAGATATTTTATTTCAAATTGAAAAAGCGTAATACATATTAATAAGCAATAATACATGTGGAGTTTGATATATGAATAATATACATACCTGAAAAATAACAAAACTTATTAAGATAGCAAAATTGAATGTTATTTGAAATTGAACAAAATTTGATTTACTATAAGGCCATAATCCAATAGCAAGTAGAAGGATCCTATGGATACTGAAGTATTTAGTTTTAATACAGATCATTACTCTACGAGCATGTAAATGCGTTTGACTGTAAAAAGTGCAATAAACATCTGCACATTTTTATTTATTAAATATTTTATAACGTACCATTTTTGCAAAACGCACATTATTTAATTTAGTATAATGAAAATTGGCGAAAAGTGCTTTGAAATAGGAATACATATAATTTAACATTTTTGCCTTAGAAAGAGTCCGTTATTAAGCGATCAATATAATGTGAGAAATTGAACGTATGTTTATTTCTTATGGAAAAATATTGGTGCATTAATTTTTTTACAAAAGTTTACGCAAGCGTATTAGTCAGTTTCTAGTAATACAACAATATGTCTCTTTTGTTTCGTAATGCATCTGCATAAACTGCGTTTGACTATTTAGAAAGATGGCTTATCAATTACTCAATTTATCGAGATATCAACTATTAATTTATTACCGGTAATACTTATTGTAAATAACATTGTTTTAAACTTTTTTTATTTTTTTAACAAAATTAACATTTCTTACAATTTTCTCTTACTAATCTAGTTTCGATTAAACAGATTTTATCATTCAATAATTAATGTCAATCAGTTTATAATTTCATAGAATATTTGTCAAAAAATCTGATCTATAAATGATATGATCTATATAATCATTGTAATTATTTATAAATATTTATTAAATATTAGTTCTCGAAGAAACTTTATAGTTTTAAAATTTGTCGTGCTATTTGTATTTCTGTAATAATATTCTTATAATTTATTTTTTATAACTTATAACTTATAACTTATTCCTTATAACTTCCAACTTATTTCTTATATATATATTTTTTCTTATTTATCATTATTTATTAAATTATTATTAATAATGAACATGTTTTTTTAATGCATTTAATCTTTAGATCCATATAATTTAAAATTTATAGATAAGAATAATAATTACATATTATTATTTTACAGATATGAACATGTTCAATAATTCTATTAAATTTTAGTAATAATTATAAGTTTACATTAATTTTTTATTAATAAAATTTTAATCTTTATGAGATTTTTTTTATGGGATTATATATGCTTCAATATCCGCATTGTTCTCACACATATCACATCCACACTCATTCCACACTGCATTCGCATCTGCACCACGTCATCGCGACTTTCACATCTTTTATATTAATTAAAAATTGATTAATTTTTTTATATGGAAAATAGATTTCTTATATGTGATATTACAGTCATAGGGTTTTTTTTTATTTAATGAACTTAGAAGTTGGCGGAAATTGAATTTTTAATATTACATTTTAGTATTATTTAAAAATGAGTTCTTCTGAAATTTGGAAATTCTTTTATAAAATATAATTTTATAAAATACACTTTTTACACATGGAAATTCTTTTATAAATAGTTTTTTAATGAAATCAAATACAAAATAATCAAGTGTGCTTGATTTTGAGTGATAATTTTTTTAAAATATAATTTTTGTGACTAATATATTTTTTTCCTTGTATTTTTGAATCTACAGAAAGAATATGCATGTAAATATGCGTGTAATATAAAAGAAGTCACAATGATCAATGGCTCGAAGTTTTTTAAGTCAATATTTTTATAATCAGAATTCGAGAAATGAAAAGTGTATTAATGCCATATATACCGCAGAAATATAAATTAATTTACGTAACTGAATATTCTTTTGCTTGAAATTGGTTAATGACAATAAAATCCTTCTTTGTAGTGTAAACTGTTTTAAAATTCGTTCAAAATGACGAATACACTTCTTAAATAATTAAATAATTGAATCGTAAATTATTGAATCGTTTTATAGTTGCTAAATTAATAGTCACATTAGTTATGTCTTCTATAGTTATAAGATATGGTGATACATACACTAATAAATAATATAAAAGCATTTCGTTATCTCGTAGTTGAATAAACCATTATAAGAATGGAATCTTTATTATTATATTATTATATTATTATATTATTATTTTAGGAATTAATAGAAATTCTTTATAAAATATTTATCAAAAACGTAAAAAATATCTACTCTAAATAATAAAGAATTACAATTGTAGAAAACACCAAATATTCACATTTCTAATTGCAAAAATTAATTCGTTATATCTCTTGTAACATATCTGATTCCATTTTAGCAATTATCTGTAAATTGCATTTAATTTTGTTAAATAAATAATCATAATTTTTTGTGGTTATTTGTTTAAAATATAACAATAAAAATGAAATCGGCGATAATAACACGTTACTTAATTTGTACTTAATTTGTTTCGCTTAAATTATGTTATTTTTTAATTGTGAAAATTACTTTATACAGCCGGCTAAGAGTTAGATACTACAGCTTTATTGCTGCATAGAATATATAAAAGTGAAATAAGACATCGATAGTTTTATTAACTGAAATAAAATATATCCGTCGTATTATTGTTTAATGGAGAATTTTAAATTATAATTATTTTAATGATGTATGATGTCTTGTGATTATTACCGTGCCAAAACATTCTAATGATACGTCAAATAATTTGCCGATTTTGAGAGTGAAGACTTTGCTACCCTTTTGCAATATGAAGAATATTAATTTTTGCGTATGTATGGAAGCTACATACCATTGAACATTGTATCTGTAAAATGATGCTTATAAGTAAGGAGAATCGATAAAAAAAATTGTTGTTCGCATTATACTTATATATTTTCCTCTATAATTGTAATTGTAACAAAGAAAAACAGAGAGAGAAAGAGAGAGAGAGAGAGAGAGAGATTTTATGTTATTGCTCTTATTATTAAAATGTATATTTGTCCTTGCTTTATCTTAAAATTAAGTTTATCGGAAATGGAAATATCGACAAAATACATTTGTTTTGGTTCTCAAATTAAAGTTTTTCTTTTTTTTCCCATAACAAAGTAATAATAAAGCGAATGTAAAAGAATATTACGTAAATGTAAAAAAAAACTTATTTTCATATTTGCTCAATATTTATATAATTAATAATTATTAATTTTAATATTATGTAATTAATATGTATAACACAATTAATGGAATTCACTTATATGAACATTGTATGAATCTCTTACGCAGTATCATAAACATTATTATTGTGATCCAAAACTTGTTGTATGAAATAACATCCAAGAAATATATATACAAGAAAGCTATCTATGATAAGAAAATGAATGATACAATCTTCTTTATTTCCAACCGAAACAGCCAAAAAAATCTAAAATGAATAATTGTGATAATTTTATGTATATTTAATAATTAAATACAGTTTCCTATAATAATATATTATAAAGTTAAAAGAAGGCATATAACATAAAAAATAATTTGCATAATTTTTTCTGGATATTTCTGATTGATTATAGATTAATTGTTATTTAGCATATTACCTTTATAATTACCTTTATAATTTTATAATAATATATTTAGAAATGTGAGACTTACTGCAAAAAGATTGAGACTTAAACAAATTACACAAATTACTATTAATAAAAAAAGGATCCTTCAAAACTGGACACAATAAAATTAATGTATCTTAAAAAAATATTACATATTATAGAATATTACATAATATTACATATTATAGAAATACTGTTGTATACATCATACATATACCAACTTTATAGCTTTACGATGGATGTCTACGGCATGAATTATTTCTTTGTATATCATTTTCTCACTTTTTATGCAAATCTTTTCACATGCTTTAGTCATTATTGCTTGCTCGATACGATAACTGTAAATTAATTATTTATCATAAATATATAGTTTTGTTAAATATATATGTTTATAATTTTATATTGATTCAAAACTAAGTTTTTGTTTATAACCAAACAAATCTTTTGTAATCGTTCGAAGTTATATATTCTTTACCTGGCAATTTTAAATATTCCACATGTGTGTATAATATATCCTAAAAGCATTGTTCCTGTCGCTGTTACTGTAATCGCTCCGATACATATGAATGTATTCATGTGCAACATAATTACAAACCAGTACTTTTCTTGATCGATGAAATATTCCTGAATTATCTTAAAGTGTAGTAGTTCACGTGATTGAGATTTATTTGTATGTAAAACAATATTAAGGACTGGCTTTAGAATTGGCGTTACAAAGATAATACATATGCAACAAATGCTGAACACTAAAAATATTTTTAAAAAATTGTCTATAAATTTTATTATAATTAAAAAGTTACATTATAGTTTGTCCTAATCTTTTTGTTCTGTAATTTTATTACTCTGATAAATCTTACAAAATGTAATTGCAATTTTTTAAATATTTTAATATAACATATAAAATTATACATGAATGCGCGCGCGCGCGCGTGTGTGTGTGTGTGTGTGTGTGTATGTGTGTATCCACCATCATGAAAATATATTTGCTTGAATGCTTTTTTAATTTATTACTTTTAACAAATATTTTATTTATTTTAAAATATAATTTTTACATATTTACTGCTTATATTTTAGCTTATATTTTATTAATTCAAACAAACTTGAGGATAAATAAGAGTCAAATGACTGATGACAGTAAAATATGAAGAAAAAAATATAAATAATTTAATTCAGGTATTATAAAAAAACTTGATAAAGCTGAGATATATTTCAAAAATTTTACTTATATGATCCTTATTTTTTTTAAATTTTTTTAAATGTAAGTACTAAAAATTAATTAAATTATCTTAATTATTGTTTTATAATTATTAATATTTTATAAGTTATTTATTAATTTAATTATAATTTAATTATAATTAGAATTAATTTATTCAACTTTAAAATATATTATTATAATGTATTATATCTTCTTACATGAAAGTAGAGTTGTACAACGTTTTGTATTGTATCCATATTCTTTCATGATATTTATCTCATCTTCATCTTTTAGCTCATTACAGATTTGCTGTAGTTGTTTCATTAAACGTCTTACCTTTTATAATATTTAAAATATTTTTTACTTGAAAACTTGGGAAAGATTATTATACGCGAAAATTTATTTATAAAAAAGATATTTGTTTAAACATATTTTATATATATGATATATGTATACACGTAGTACATACGTATAGTACAAATTTAACTTACGTTATGAGCATTAACCCAAAATGAGTTATACTTTATTACATATAACATAGAAAACGTTGTGATACAGAGAACTTTTATTATAAGAAGGGAAGTGCATTCTGCAGTCAAAAATATTGTAAGCTGAAAATAACAAATTTTTCTATAAGTTTGCGTTAAAATATTCTATTTGTTCAGTAAACTACATATTGAAATTATCAATTATTTGTAATGAGAAGTAACATAAAAAAATTTCTATAATAAATGTTTGTAAAACGATATATGTGTGTATATCATTATTTTTATCTTCTTAAGTAATTGAATGGGAAAGGTTCCATTATAACTATTAGATATAGCTGGTATACGATGCTCTCTGAATTCTCTTTTAAATTATCAAAAATGTTTTATTTCAGTTTGAAGAAATGTAAAAGTTAAATATTTATTTTTAAGCTAGAATCAGCTGTTTTTAACGGTTTTTAAACCGATGAAACAATTTTGATATTGTAGGAAGAAATTGAGATATAGCAAAAACTGGTCTTAGACCTTCTCGTTCCTATGAATCTAGACGCACGTGAATCATGCACATACATCATTGCGATGCTGAAGACATTTTTATACAGTTGATTGATTAAACTCGAACTATTCATCGCGAGAACATCAAAAGGAACAAGAATTTTCTTTTAAAGATAGTGACGTTTTCTAGATAAAAACATCATTATTGTTTAAACAAACTTTGACAATTTTTTGGATTTTTTTGGATTTCTGCTCATAAAACACATAGAAAAAAAGAGTTTGTTTAAATGTTGATAAATGTTAATTGTTGTAAATCAAAGCCGAGCTATTGATTCACTTTATTCGGAAATTAATTGATTTAATTTTCATGAAGATTTGATAATCGTAGATTCTTATGTGTGGCTCACATATAGATATACACAGCTTATATAAGATTGACGCATCAAGTCATTATTGTGTATCTTTATAATACATGTAAAAAAATAGAGTTGATATATAATATATGTACCTGAAAAATAATGAAACTTATCAAAATAGCAAAATTGAGTATTATTTGAAATTGAACAAAATTCGATTTACTATAAGGCCATAACCCAACAGCAAGTAGAAGGATCCTATGAATACCGAAATATCTAGTTTTAATACAGATCATTACTCTACGAGCATGTAAATGCGTTTGACTGTAAAAAGTGCAATAAACATCTGCACATTTTTATTTATTAAATATTTTCTAACGTATCATTTTTGCAAAACGCACATTATTTAATTTAGTATAATGAAAATTGGCGAAAAGTGCTTTGAAATAGGAATATAATAGGAGTATAATTTAACACTTTTGCCTTAGAAAGAGTCCGTTATTAAGCGATCAATATAACGTGAGAATTTGAACGTATGTTTATTTCTTACGGAAAAATATTGGTTCATTTGTTTTTTTACAAAAGTTTGCGCAAGCGTATTGGTCAGTTTCCAGTAATACAACAATATGTCTCTTTTATTTCGTAGTGCATCTGCATAAAACATCTGCGTTTGACTATTTAGAAAGCTTTTATCAATCACTCAATTTATCAAGATATCAACTATTAATTTATTGCCGGCAATACTCATTGTAAATAACATTGTTTTAAACTTTACTTTATTTTTTTAACAAAATTAACATTTCTTACAATTTTCTCTTACTAACCTAGTGTTTCGATTAAACAGATTTTATCAATCAATAATTAATGTCAATCAGTTTGTAATTTCATAGAATATTTGTCAAAAAATCTGATCTATAAATGATATGATCTATATAATCATTGTAATTATTTATAAATATTTATTAAATATTAATTATTTCGAAGAAGCTTTATAGTTTTAAAACCTGTCCTGCTATTTGTATTTCTGTAATAATATTCTTATAATTTATTTTTTATAATTTATAACTTATTCCTTATTAACTTCCTTATTAACTTCAAACTTTCTTATATATATTTTTTCTTATTTATCATTATTTATTAAATTATTATTAATAATGTTCTTTCAATGCGTTTGATTTTTAGATCCATATAATTTAAAATTTATAGATAAGAATAATAATTACATATTATTATTTTACAGATATGAACATGTTCAATAATTCTATTAAATTTTAGTAATAATTATAAGTTTACATTAATTTTTTATTGATAAAATTTTAATCTTTATGAGATTTTTTTTATGGGATTATATATGCTTCAACATCCGCATTGTTCTCACACATATCACATCCACACTTATTCCACACTGCATCCGCATCTGCACCACGTCATCGCGACTTTCACATCTTTTGTATTAATTAAAAATTGATTAATTTTTTTATATGGAAAATAGATTTCTTATATGTGATATTACAGTCATAAGGTTTTTTTTTATTTAATGAGCTTAGAAGTTGGCGGAAATTGAATTTTTAATATTACATTTTAGCATTATTTAAAAATGAGTTTATCTTCTGAAATTTGGAAATTCTTTTATAAAATATACTTTTATGAAATACACTTTTATAAAATACACTTTTTACACATGGAAATTTTTTTATAAATAGTTTTTTAATGAAATCAAATAAAAAATAACCAAGTGTGCTTGATTTTGAGATAATTTTTTTAAAACGTAATTTTTGTGACTAATATATTTTTATCCTTGTATTTTTGAATTTACAGAAAGAATATGCATGTAAATATGCGTGTAATATAAAAGAAGTCACAATGATCAATGGCTGGAAGTTTTTTAAGTCAATATTTTTATAATCAGAATTCGAGAAATGAAAAGTGTATTAATGCCATATATATCGCAGAAATATGAATTAATTTACGTAACTTAATATTCTTCTGCTTGAAATTTGTTGATGACAATAAAATCCTTCTTTGTAGTGTAAACTGTTTTAAAATTCGTTCAAAACGACGAATACACTTCTTAAATAATTAAATAATTGAATCGTAAATTATTGAATCGTTTTATAGTTGCTAAATTAATAGTCACAATAGTTATGTCTTCTATAGCTATAAGGTTTGGTGATACATACACTAATAAATAATATAAAAGCATTTCGTTATCTCGTAGTTGAATAAATAATTATAAGAATGGAATCTTTATTATTATATTATTATATTATTATATTATTATATTATTATATTATTATATTATTATTTTAGGAATTAACAGAAATTCTTTATAAAATATTTATCAAAAACATAAAAAATATCTACCCAAAATATCTACCCTATAAAGAATTACAATTGTAGAAAACACCAAATATTCACATTTTTAATTGTAAAAATTAATTCATTATATCTCTTGTAACATATCTGATTCCATTTTAGCAATTATCTATAAATTGCATTTAATTTTGTTAAATAAATAATCATAATTTTTTGTGGTTATTTGTTTAAAATATAACAATAAAAATGAAATCGGTGATAATAACACGTTATTTAATTTGTACAAGTTTCGCTTAAATTATGTTATTTTTTAATTATGAAAATTACCTTATACAGCCGGCCTACTAAGCCTTAGATACTACAGCTTTATTGCTGCATAGAATATATAAAAGTGAAATAAGACATCGATAGTTTTATTAACTGAAATAAAATACATCCGCCGTATTATTGTTTAATGGAGGATTTTGAATTATAATTATTTTAATGTATGATGTCTTGTGATTATTACCGTGCCAAAACATTCTAATGATGCGTCAAATAATTTGCCGATTTTGAGAGTGAAGACTTTGCTACCCTTTTGCAATATGAAGAGTATTAATTTTTGCGTATGTATGGAAGCTACATACCATTGAACATTGTATCTGTAAAATGATGCTTATAAGTAAGGAGAATCGATAAAAAAAATTGCTGTTTGCATATACTTATATATACTTATATATTTTCTTCTAATTGTAATTGCAACAAAGAAAAACAGAGAGAGAAAGAGAGAGAGAGAGATTTTATGTTATTGCTCTTATTAAAATGTATATTTGTACTTGCTTTATCTTAAAATTAAATTTATCGGAAATTGAAGTCAACAAAATACATTTGTTTTGATTCTCAAAATAAAGTTTTTCTCTTTTCTCCCAGATAATTCCAGAGATTTCTAACAGATTAATAAAAGCGAATGTAAAAGAATATTATGTAAATGTAAAAAAAAACTTATTTTCATATTTGCTCAATATTTATATAATTAATAATTATTAATTTTAATATCTGATTAATATGCACAACATAATTAATGGAATTCACTTATATGAACATTGTATGAATCTCTTACGCAGTATCATAAACATTATTATTGTGATCCAAAACTTGTTGTACGAAATAAGCTCCAAGAAATATATATACAAGAAAGCTATCTATGATAAGAAAATGAATGATACAATCTTCTTTATTTCCAATCGAAATAGCCAAAAAAATCTAAAATGAATAATTGTGATAATTTTATATATATTTAATAATTATCCGTTTTCTATAATAATATATTATAAAATTAAAAGAAAGCATATAACATAAAAAATAATTTGCATAATTTTTACTGGATATTTCTGATTGATTATAGATTAATTGTTATTTAGCATAACTATTTTTATAATTTTATAATAATATATTTAGAAGTGTGAGACTTACTGCAAAAAGATTGAGACTTAAACAAATCACACAAATTACTATTAATAAAAAAAGGATCCTTCAAAACTGGACATAATAAAATTAATGTACCTTAAAAAAATATTATATATTATAGAATATTACATAATATTACATATTATGGAAATACTGTTGTATACATCATACATATACCAACTTTATAGCTTTACGATGGATGTCTACGGCATGAATTATTTCTTTG